AATATTATTTTTAACTAAAGACTTACTTGCTTGAGATAATGGAAATCCATAATGTTTATCCTTTTTATTTAAAGATGATGAAGATTGATGTGTCTTAAAATGAATCTCTTGGTCATCACAATCAATATCATCTTTGTTTATTATTTTTTGACCTACACAACACAAACATAGAGAATATTTGAATTTCATCTAACAACTTGTCTTCTCAATTTTTTAATTTTACAATTAAAAAATTTTTACAAATTACTTTATAGATTATTAACTTTATAAGTAAAATAGGGTATATAGTATGGTATATAATATTATAGGTTTCATACTGCTAAACATTTGGTAATAACACCAGAATATCATTAAAGAATAAAAATTTTAAAATGACATTTTGAAGTAAGTCACTAAACTTTCTTGAAACAAATCATCATATTTTTTCCTTTCAGCCTTTTTTAACTATAGTAATTCCTTTATAAAAACCACTGATATTATTATTTTTAATTTTTAGAGTTAAAGAAGAAAAATTCTGAGAATGTTGTTCCCTTTTCTCAAATCCAAATAGATTTTTTTGCGTTAAAAGCAGTTGATAATTAAGTAGAATTAAAAACTTAATCTAGTTTTTTTAAGCATTCAAGTTTACTCAACAATTAAGTTATTTATTAGAGTAAAATAATCTAGCTAACCACACCATTAAAACTTTATTAATCATATCTACTTGATTCAAGTAGAAATACAAACACAACCAAGTTTCAACGAAGGCATATAACTTTAAACTAAAAATACTCCAATATATTTTCAAATTTAATTCTACAAAAAAAACAATGCAAACACTTGGTTGATTTAAATATATACTAATTTATATAATTTTTACTTAAATAAATCAATTCGCCTAATCGAAGGTCACGCCATTATTTGCGTAAACATACTCTTTTAAATATTGCCGTACTGTACGTTTAAAAAAAGTTTTTTTATCACGTTAAAAAAACGTTCATAAGCTAACTGAGAAATTTCTGAGAAAAACTGAGAAAGTTAATAAAAAAAATAAAACGTTTAAAAAACGCTTAAAAAATTTAAAAAAAATTAAAAAATATGTAAATTTAAATTAACATTTAAAAAAACGTTTGCAAAAAAAACGTTTTAAAAACGATTGTATTGGTTCTTTTAACGTCCGACCGTAAATTGAACGGAATTAAAACGTTTTAAAAACGTCCTGTGCTTACTGGGATGTATATATGTTATATATGTATGTATGTATGCATGTATGTAATATGCATTACACTTAATGAAGGATTAAAAAATATGTACGTCACTAATTTTACAAATAATTCTTTGTAAAGAATATACATTAAGTTCAAATATGTATTATATTAGTTTCATTTGAATTTTTTGATTAATCATCCTAATTTTTTTACCAGCCTATCGGCCCACTTTTGTACCGGCCCACCGGGCATTGTCCCGGTACGCCCATATGGCCAGTCCGCCTCTGATATATATATATATATATATATATATATATATATATATATATATATATATATATATATATATATATATATATATATATATATATATATATATATATATATATATATATTATATTATATTATATTACATATACAACAACATAAAAATAAACCCACTTTATAATGCTGTAAGTAAAAACTTGTAATAAAATCTCAGGTATATAAAAAATAAAATTCATGTGTGAAAATGTGTGAAAAAATCCTTAGATTACTCTACTTCAAGTAGAGTTTTTCAAGTAAATTTGCCGTTTTTCTGGCAAGCCTCAGAAAAACGGCAAAATTACCTTATTAAATTTTGATTGCGCTCAAAAATATTTTAAGACGAGGGAAATTTAAAAGATCTCCAATTAGAAAACAAAAAACCCACCCTATTAAAGTACAAAAATCTGTTTTGATGTGGTGACAAGAGAATAATTTTAATTTACTTGTATTAAGGTAAAACTGAAACATTTGGAATTAAATAACTTTATCAATTCTAAAGCAAAACGTCGTCCCCAAACAAATTATTGTAGTACATTCTTTTCTAAATAAAATAACATCTATATATACATATATATCATTAATTTTCATGGGTGGTTTTTATTCTTCGACACCTACATAAAATCATTTCTTGTGTTTTTTGGACGAAATTTTTCAAACAAACGAAGTATTTTTTTCCGCAATAAAATGTCACGTGATAAAACTTCCTAGTTGTAGATATATTGGTCACTTGAGACCTAATAAAAAAAGCCGCTTTTAAGAAATAAGCTATTGCTTCGTATTTATTTATTAGCGTATTTTATTCAACCCTACAACACTTCATTTCCGTTTTTAACTCATAACTTTTTTTCCTAAACAGCAAATTTAATTTTGAAAAAAGATTCTTGATCAGCGTAAAAAGTTGTACCAGTAAACATTTTAAGTTTAATGGTACCAAATTTAATTTTCGAGAGCTTTAAGTTTCCTTTTCAAACAAATAAAAAAAATCTTATTGCACATTCTAAAACTTATAAATTTATAACAAAATTTTTTTTATTAAAAATAAAACTTTATACAATCTTACTCAGAAAAATATTTTCTACAATATAATCAAAAAATATTTGAAAAATTATTTAATAGTTAATTAAGATCGAAAGAATAAACATTGTCATAACTATTTCATTTTACCCGCTATTTCATTTTACCCTGTTTTACTCTAATAATCCGACAGTTTAAATTTCTTATTGCATTTAAAATATAGTAAAATTTTTCATAAAAAACTTTTGAGATTCATACATAAGGGCTATTTGGAAAGCATATTGGGGTTATTTGGAAATTTTTAAAAAGCTAAATACTGTCTTATGTAAAATAACCCTGTGTCTGCTCTTGGTTAATATAAAAAAATTTAAAAATTAAAAGGAATAAATAAAAATGTATACAAAATAATCAAAATAGACAAAATAAAAGATAATAATGCCTAATATATTATAGCAATTTTTAAATGATCTCCAGGTCTTTAAGTATTAGATCTGCTATAACTGCTTCCTGGCCTATGTCAATATCTTCAGCTTCATCTTTATTGACTTTCCAATATCCTATTGTGTATGTCATAGATTTTTCTTTTGTTGCTACCTTTTGATCAAAAATTCTACCAAAAAATAAATGTATATTGCCATCATCTAGCTCCCATTTATGGTTTAAGAGCTGCCCTATTAATTTTCCATTTTTCAAAATTACTCCTAAAATTTGTTTTTGTTTTTCATCAATATTAACAAAAAGAGGATTTGTAGTTTTGGCATTGCTCTTTTAATATCCTCCTCTTTCCAAACGTTCTTTTTTTTTAATTAGCTTTGGCGCATCTTTTTCCTATATCTTCATACAAAAAATTATTAAAATTTTTAGAAGCTTGACACGTTAAAGCTCCTCTGCGAATTTTTGTTTTAGAATCCAGAAAACCAAAAGTAGTATTAGGAGCACGACGAAAAAAAATCAATCATGCCCAAGATCCTTTCAGCCTCCATTGTATGAGGTAGAGCAGATAGTGTGGTTTTTATCATTTCTATAGATGGATTTGAGAGATTGCCAGTCAAATACCTGGCCATTTGTCTTTTGAGAACTGTCTCTGTGTATCTTATCAAAGCTGATAAAATCTTTACCAAAATATTTTTATTTTTTATTACACGAAGGGATTGTTGTACCTTATCTTCTTTAATACTTAATACTTGTCTAAAAATATCCTCATCTGTACAAAGAATTGATTATGGATTACTTTTGAAAAAGCTAATTTCCTTATTGCATTCTGGAAAATGTCACCCTAATAAAAAAATGTTTGTACATTTTTTAAATTATTTTATTTATTTATTAAAAAACCTTAAAAACTTACAAACTCAAGATTAATCTTTCCTGCTGCATTTTTATAAACCAGACTTATCCATGGCCCAGTTATTATTTGAAGTAAGAGCTAGCAAATTTTATTTTTAGTGTTGCTATAATAACAAAAAAATGTTAATAAATGGAATTCTATTAAACTTAATATTCATCTAAAAAAAACTTACTTTTCAAGAAAGATTTTTATAAGTCTTTCGTATGTGACAACAATCCCTGCCATATGGAACAAAACATGAAATCTACCATCAAAATATCTTAGGAGGATCTATCTCGAGCAACATTATTTTTTTTAAGATAGCTTTTAAATGCTGCAGGATCGCCTTTAAAACTATAAATGATTTTTAAAGGGCAAAAAAATTACAATTTCAAGTTTTCAAAATGTGGAAATAATAAAGAACAAAAAACTAAAAAAAAATTAAATAATGAAAGATATACATACAAAAGATTACCTTAGCTTAGAAATATTTTTCAAGACTGTTACTGCAACCCCATCAGTTTCTTTAGCCGGTTTTATCTTCAACTCATTATCTATTGTTTTAAGAGCTAATAATGCTTTTAAGGCAATAGTTTCCAATGGATGAACATTGCAGTGCAGTTGCATTAGTTGAATGTCTATCTCCTCCTGAAGCATGTTTTTCACACAACTATTATCTGGTGCTCTGTCTGACAGACAACTTTTGATTTTTTGAATAAATATATCTAAAACTTCTACTGCTATAATATTTTTAAACTCTGCAAATGTATTGGCAAGTTCTTTTATAACACTGACAGCACAGGATTTGA